AAAGGCACCCCACCCCTTCCTTAAGACATTTTTTACTTTTATATATAAGTTGGAACATGGTCCTAGTAAATTAAAATGTCAAAACCATCTTCCTTGATGTAAACAAGGTACATGCAAAGGAAAAAAATAATAAATAAACATCTTCCTATGGGTTGTTGCCTGGTGAAAAAGTAAAATAAAAACTAGATAAAACTAAAAAATAATAATAAAAAATTCCTAGAGCTGGGCTTGATGTGCTGCCTGCACAGTGCACAACTTCAGCAACTGTTCAGAGCTTCCTTATGAATGGGTCAGAAAGATGGACAAATTGTCAACTCAAGAAAATGGAGCTGGAGACAGGAGATCAACATAAAGAAGATAGATGGGGAGGGAAGAGAAGGGACAGTCTTCTCCTGGATGGCAGACAGGAGAGGAGTCCTTTGTGGTCACCCAGCTAATGTCTGTCTTGCAGGCAGTTCAGCAAGATTGGAGGCCGCCACCCAGCGCCTGGCCCTGTCCATCCTGTCCCAGGAGGCACCTCCCCAGAGACCGCCACTGCAGAAAGCCGCCCCTGCGCACCATCCCTTCCTGGGGGTGGCTGCGCTGTGGCCCCCACCGAGGCACCCATGCCAGTGCCAGCCTGAGCCTCGCTGCCCTGGATGCCTCCCACCTCGACCTCTTTTATGACATCGCGCCACCCCAGAGTGTTCCCAATGCCATCTTACCCTCTCGTGTCCTCTGACCACTGGCGCATCCCTGCTGACATCAGACCTGTCCTATCTCACTCTGGACCAGCAGACCTGAGACAGGCCCCACATTTTTGCCATCTCCTGCCCCTCACCAGCATGCCCTGGGGGAGGGGCGGGGCTCCTGGCTCAGGACTGGGCGTGGGGGACAGGCAGGAGGTGCCCGTGCCTGGGATTCTCAGGGGGTGCCTGAGGGCTGGGGCCCTACTCCCTGTGACGCTCAACCACAACCCAGCCAGGCTCCAGACAGACAGAGGCCCCTCCCTGATGGCTCTCCAGCCCCCTCCCCGGGAGTCCCTGACCCTTCCTGGTATCCCCTGAGAAAATAAACCAAGCCCAGACCCACTGCAGACACCACCTCAGGTCTTCTCCCAGCGCCAGCGCCCCACCTCTGCCTCTCCTGGGGCCCTCACTCTTGGTCCCCCACCCACGCTTCTCCCTTCTTCTTCCCAGCCGGTCCAACACCTGTCTGCCCTCTCCCTGGGCTATTCCTGCTAATGTCTGGTCTCGGACTGATTTCTTCCCAAAGATTTATTGAGCACTTACTGTGGGCCGGGCTAGGTCCAGGGTTGAGGATTCAGCAGTGAACAAGGCAGACAAGATTCCTGCTCTTACTGAACTCACTTTGGTGTGTGCGTGTGTGTTGGGGGTAGGGATGAGGTTGACAATAATTAGTACACCCATACATTTTTCAAAAGCAAGATAAATTTCGAATTTCAAGCTAGGAATTAAAACTGTGGAAAAATAAAACAGTGGCCTGATCCGTGGCTACTTGACATCGGGTGTCAGGGAAGGCCATGGAAGAGGAGGGCTGCGGGCAGCGGGAGTGGCACGTGCAAAAGCCCTGAGGTGGAGTCCGGAACAGCAAGGGAGGCCGGCGCGGCTGCAGTGGGGTGAGCAGGGGAGAGTGGTAAGAGGTGAGGTCTAGCGGTCCACGAAGGCCGACCATGAAACTGGGAGGAGTTTGGATTTTATTCAAGACAGCTGGAATGCTTTTTTCAAGCCCCATTTCCAAGCGCAGATTAGAAACACCACCAGCAGCAAGAGCTTACCCGAGGGGCTCAATTCCCCACTATCGCTCCCTTACCCCTTCCTGGGTGCCGTGGTCTTGGTAAGCCTCTGACTCACAAAAAGCCGGTTCGAACCCCAGCTGCCCTGTTTGGCACGCTCTCTGTCCCCTGGCTAGCCCATCTGGTCGCACGCCAGCGCGCCAGCGGAGACCCACCTTTCTCAGCTAGAATCTGAGGTCTCCACGACCCGCCCGCCCGCCGTCACCGCCACTCAGACTCTCCGTGGCTCTCATTGGTCGACATGCTGCCTCATTATGATTTATATAACCAGTACCCTGACCATGGATATTGAGATTTATTTCGCTCCTTTGCTCTGCCAGGGTCCTGTAATGAATACCCTTGTGTCACTCACAGGAATATCTGCAGGAGAAATACTTAGGAGCCAGTTTTCTGGGTCAGAGGTTTTGTGTATGTTAGAAATGTGGCCTCACAGCTCTCCCTGGGAGTTGTTACACTCTAACCAGGCCAAAGGGAGCTCCCTGGCTACAGACACATGGCACAGGTTTTCAGCCATTCGGGAACTCTAGACCTGCCCCTCTGTGGCTGCGGCTGCCCTCAGCAGAGAGGCCTCCCATGCCCTTGCAACCTGCTTGTCAGCTCTGCAGCTCCTCCCTCTCTCAGAATCATCCCTTGGGGCCTGGGTGTCCCCAGAGTGCCCCAGGTCTGGCCTTGTGCTCAGGGGAGGAGTTAGCAGGTGGGTGGGAACACAGAGCCTAGGAGAAGGAACCACCCCAGGAAGTCCCTGGGGTGGGACATGGTGGAAGGGGCTGAGACTGGAGGGTCCCCAGAGCCTGGGGGGGTGCATCTTAGTCCTGAGGTTAGAGAGAAGCCACAGGGACTGGAAGTGGCATTTGAGACAGGGGAGTAGCAGAGTCAGCTTTGTGTTTTCACCAAGATCATTTTTCTGTCTTCACTTCCTCGGGGAGAACTTTGCAGAACTGCCAAGACAGATCCAGCTCCCTCGAAATCTGGCACTTATCACAGTTGTAATTATGTGATTAATTAATTCACTGTGGTTTTGTTTTAGAGGGAGTTTCCATTCAATCTTTTTTTTTTATTGAGATAAAATTTACTATTTTAACCATCTATGGGTTTTAAATTTTGAGGTACAGTAAACACAGAAAACATTTTCTATGATAGCTGCTGGATTGCATTTTAAAAATAATAATAAAAAACAGCAGTGCACTCACCACCAGCTTTCAAAATAGCAGTGCACCCTTTAGTGCCACCTGCCTCAGCTTCAGGCTTCACTGGGCCTCCCTAGGGTCTCTGTTTCTAGAATGAATTAACGAGTGAATGAGTGAGCACAGACTGAAGCAGAGGGAGAGAGAGCTGCAGACAAAAGCCCAGCCAGGACACCCAGTTATACAACAACCTGGGGACCCAGAAACTCAAGACTCCCAGGGACACACTCTGGGACATGCCACTCAGGTGTCCTGGGTCACTGTGTGGCCTTGGGCAGGTTATGGGCCCCTCTGGATCTCAGCTTCCTCCTCTGTAAAAGAATTGATGGTCTGGTGGCCTTACCAGCCAGTTCCTTTCTTGTTCTTTTTCTGTCTTTTTTATTGTGATAAGATACATACCTAAAACTTACCCTTTGAACCTTTTTTTGTTTTGTTTTGTTTTCATGCTGTGGCACCATCCTAGCTCACTGCAGCCTTGAACTCCTGGTCTCAGGCAATCTCACCACCACGCCCAGCTTTTTTTTCTTTCAGGGTCTCACTATGTTGCTTAGGCTGGTCTGAAGCTCCTGGCCTCAGGCAGTCCTCCTGCCTTGGCCTCCCAAAGTGCTGGGATTGCTGGTGTGAGCCACCTCACCCAGCCCCCTTTAACCATTTTAAAGTGCACCCTTAAGTGGCACTTAGTACGTTCATGGTGTTGTGCAGCCATCACTACTGTCTAGTTCCAGAGCATTTTCATCACCCCAAACAGAAACTGTATGCCCATTAGCAGTCACCCCGAATTCCTCCCTCCTCAGCCCCTGGCAGCCACCAATCCACTTTCTCTCTCTGTGATTTTGCCTGTTCTGGACATTCATACAAATGGAATCCTACACTACATATCCTTTTTGTGTCTGGCCTCTCCCTGAGCACCATGTTTTCGAGGTTCATCATGTCACGGCATGTGTCAGTGCTTTGTTCCTTTCTATGGCTGAATGATACTCCATTGGACGGGATACCATCCTTATTTTCCAAGACCTGGGAGGGGTTCAGCCAGCTTTTGTGTTTTCCAAATGGGTAAACTGAGCTTCAGAGAGCAGTCAGTGGCCATGTTGGCCACATCAGACTTGAAGAATCTCTTTTTGTCTTTTTTTTTTTTTTTTTTTTGGAGACAGAGTCTCACTCTGTTGCCTGGGGTAGAGTGCTATGGCATCAGCCTAGCTCACAGCAACCTCAAACTCCTGGGCTCAAGCAATCCTCCTGCCTCAGCCTCCTGAGTAGCTGGGACCACAGGCATGCACTACCATGCCCAGCTAATTTTTTCTATATATTTTTAGTTGGCCAATTAATTTCTTTCTATTTTTAGTAGAGATGGGGTCTTGCTCTTGCTCAGGCTGGTTTCGAACTCCTGACCTTGAGCAATCCACCTGCCTCGGCCTCCCAGGGTGCTAGGATTGCAGGCGCGAGCCACCTCGCACGGCCAGACTTGAAGAATCTCAAAGCACTGTAGCTCCCACAGGCCATGGAGTAGGGAGGTGGCAGAGCCCAGGATGACATCTGGGCTCCACTGTGCTGGCTCAGGCCCTTGGGCAGGTCCCTTCACTGCTTGGGCCTCAGTCTCTTCTTGGGGTGGGGTGAGGATCAGAGTTGGACCCTCATTCAGGAGACTGGGCAGTGGGCTGGGCACACCACACAGAAGGACAGAGCTCCCCACAGGGGCACATGGTGACTGGGGTCACAGGTGTACTTGATGGTGTGCACAGTCTCCAGGAAGGAGAAGGCCGGGGCTGGGGGTGACACTGGGAGCCCCATGTGGACATGGCCCAGAAGGCTTCCCAGGGAAGGGACACCCCCACTGAGTGGGACAGAAATAAGAAAGAAGGACGTTCCAGGCCGAGGGAGCAGCAGGCGCAGAGACCTGGAGGTGGGGAGAAGGTATGCAAAGTGCCCTGGAGCCCGTAAGGCTCTGAGCCATGGACGCTGGACACCCTGAGAGAACCCCCCTCTGGCCTGACCTGCCCCACAGCCCCTCTGCCCACCCCCAGGAAATGGCAGCTGCCAAGCCCAGCCTGGGCCGAGTCTTCCCAGGATCGTCTATCCTGTTCCTGTGCGACATGCAGGAGAAGTTCCGCCACCACATTGCCTACTTCCCGCAGATCGTCTCGGTGGCCGCTCGCATGCTCAGGGTATGACGCTAGTCCCTCTGCCCACAGACCCAGGGGTCTGGGTCCCCAGGCCCTCCTCCCTCAGACCCAGGGGTTCCGTCCCCTGTCCCTACTTCCTCAGACCGTGGCCTCTCTTCCCCTTCCCTAGCACAGGTGGCCCAGCTGCTGGAGGTGCCAGCCTTGCTGACAGAGCAGTACCCAGAAGGCCTGGGCCCCACGGTGCCTGAACTGGGGGCCGAGGGCCTGCGGCCACTTACCAAGACCTGCTTCAGCATGGTGCCCGCCCTGCAGCAGGAGCTGGACAGCCGGCGCCAGCTGCGCTCTGTGCTGCTCTGTGGCATTGAGACACAGGCCTGCATTTTGGTGAGATACTGCCTGACCTCTGGGATGGGATCCCCACTCTCACCTGGGATCCCCATCCTAAATAAAATATCCTTCCCTCACCCAGAACCCTCTGCCTCCCTGCAGGGCCCCCATCCTGACCTGGGACCTTCATCCTTACTCTTGGGTCCCATCCTATCGTAGGTCCCCATCCTGACCTGGGGCCCCCACTCTGATCTGAGCTCTCCTCCTCCCCATTCTGGGTCCTTAATTCTGACCCAGGATCCCCAGCCCCTCACCTGGGACCCCTGTTCTTGTCTGGGGTTGGGTCTGACCTCTCTCTACCCCCAGAACACGGCCCTGGACCTCCTGGACCAGGGGCTGCAGGTCCACGTAGTGGTGGACGCCTGCTCCTCACGCAGGTGAGAGGGCCCCTCCCAGGGGTGAGTGCAGGTTGGGGGTGACCAGGGTGACCCAGGAAGGACCACAGGACAGCATGCCTGCCAGGTGTGTCCAGGTGTCCCTTCCCTTCCTCCTGCTTGCAGCCAGGTGGACCGGCTGGTGGCGCTGGCCCGAATGCGGCAGAGCGGTGCCTTCCTCTCCACCAGCGAAGGGCTCATTCTGCAGCTCGTGAGAGATGCTGCCCACCCCAAGTTCAAGGAGGTAATGCCCACTCTCCGGCCACCCACGCGGTGCATCCCACTGATGTAGTCTTTTGGGCTCGGGGCGCATGCAGGCTGCCGCCTGCAGGGGGAGCTAAGTTCTTGCACGGGAGAAAGCCGGGCTCTGCCAGAAATCCGTGAGGGGAGCCTGTACATGGCCATGAGGACTGTAGGGAAAGATAAAACGGGGAGGCAATCCTGGGAGTGTCAAGGTGCAGAGGAGGGGCTTGTACTGGGTAGTCTGGGAGGCTTCCTGGAGTAGGTGGCTTTAGAATGAAGTGAGGGAGGGAGGGAGGGAGCCAGGCTGCCCTGGGGGAGGACAGTCTAGCAAAGACCCTATAGGTAGAAGCCCCTGGACCCCCTGACATCCCTCCCTCACTCTCCATCCCCTCAGCCTCTGCCCCGTCAGGCCCTGTCACCTCCCTACTCCAGTTTCTCAACCTCCACACCCACCTCTGGAGCGGCCTTCCTAGTACTGGGGTCTGCCCGGGTATTAGACCCCCCCCTTCCAACCCTTGGCTCTCAGGATGATGGGGAAACGCCAGAACATGACAGTCCTGGGTCCTCCAAGGTCTGCCCTTCACCCTCCCGCTAGCTCAGTTCTGTGGGGCGTTCATGAAGCACCTACTGCAGCCCCCGTGGCAACAGGAAGCTTTGCCTCCTGGAGTCTGCATCACAGTGCAGAGATAAAAAGCCAGTCTGTCTGTGTTCAGTAACACATTGTGACCTGCAGCTGGGAAGGGAATGTGCAGAGGGAGTGAGCCAGGATGATGGGGTGGCCCTGGAGCTGGGGCCTGGGAGGGTAAGAGCAGCCGACATTCACAGACTGCTCCTGGGAGAGGTGGGACTGCGCTTGCCTTGTTCAAGGACTCGAAACAGGGCATGGTGAGCGTTGCGGGGCACAGGAGCCAGAGCCCCCTCTCTGCAAAGATTTGGGATTTCAGCAGTGGGTGGCCATTGGGGTTTGTGCAGAAGAGCTGGCCACGTGGGCTCAGCAGCTACAAGCTCTCTCTGTCTCTGTGTGGCCAGTGGATTAGGGAGGGTGGCGTGGAGGGCGGAGGGAGACTAGTGAGGAGCTACTTTGGGCATCCAGGCAAACAGTGATGGGGCATGACCAGGATGAAGGCAGTGGGGATGCAGGCTTTGGTTTTTACTGTCCTTGTTTATCTTTTCTTTATTTTTTCTTATTTTCTGGAGATAAACTTGGCGAGACCTGCTGATGGATGGAATGTGGTTGGTTGCTCATGTCTATATAAGAGGCAGTTGGATAAATGAGCCTGGAGTTCAGGGGCAAAGTCTAGGCTGGCTGTTGGAGTTGGGGGTCCAGAAGAGCCATGGGAAAGATGAAGTTACTTAGGAAGAGGAAGGTGTTGACAAGAAGACCCAGGACAGAGCCATTCACCCTTAGTGGCCCAAGCCAGCAAGACAGACCAAGATGGCGCAGGCATGTGTGATGGAAGAGAAGCCCTAGGAAAGCTTTTGAGAAGAGGGAGTGGCTGGCTTGGTCTGCTGCTACCAAGAGGGTCGTGGAGATAAAGATGGGGAAGCGTCCCTTAGATCTGTCATTACGGAGATGGGGACTTGACTCTTCCTAACCCACCCACTCCCTACTCCTGCAGATCTCGAAGCTTATCAAGGAGCCTGCCCCGGACAGTGGACTGCTGAGCCTCTTCCAAGGCCAGAACTCCCTCCTCCAATGAACTCCCGCCTTCTTGAGGAAAGACCACCCTCCCATCACCCAGTGGACCCCCGTCCCTGGATCCCAAGAGTGGTGTAGTCCACCAGGAGTGCCGCCCTCTTGGGAGGGGAGGCGTTATGCCACGTTCCCATTGGGCGGCTGCTCCCGGAAATGCAAATGAGACTCCTGGAAGCTGGGCGGGAGTTGGCTGAGCGGAGATGAAGGCGGGGCTCAGTCCCCGGGCCACTTCACAAGGCGGGAAGGGGAGGGGGAAGGAGTGTCACAGACTGTGGGACATGGACTTGCAGAATAAACATTGATGTGACTGTGGACCGAACCATTCTTGGGTTTGGGGAGTGTCCCGGGGGCGACTGCGGGCTGCAGGCGGGAGAGAGCAGGGTCCCCAGCAGGTGGGGAGGGGGAGGGGCCTCTCCGCGCGAAGCCGGCGCGAGGCAGCGGCGAGGGCTGGCCGCCGCCACATCTGCGCGGAGCCGGCGCGCGTCTGCACGGAAGCCAGCCGCCGGCCCGGGGTCGCCAACACGCTGCCGCTGCCGGCCGCCCCCAGCGCGCGCACGCCCAGCCCCGTCGGCCGGCAAACACGCGCTCGCTCGGCAGCCCCCCACGCGCGGCCGCCCCCGACTCCCCAAGGGTCCCGCATCCGGAACACGAGGTGAGCATGACCGCACCCGATGCGGAGAGGGAAACTGAGGCATGGGGGACATGGGGATGGAGAGGAAGGGAGAGACGGGCATGTGGATGGATGGATGAATGGATGAAAGGACAAACAGATAGCTTCAGCCTAGAGCTCCCTGCGCTCAGATGCAAGAGTTTGGGGATCCACATGGGGGATCCCAGAATTCTGCAGCCCCCTTGGAGATCTGGGAGTTGGAACTCTACAGACCCCCCAGCGAGAGCCCCCTCCCTCCAAAGATTCGCAGCCATTACCTCCTCCCCAACCTTGGGGACCTAAGAAGGCAACCTCTGAGTCCTCCAGGGACACAGGCGTCAGAGCTCTCAGCCAGCCCGTCCCCCACCGCAGCCTGTGGGAGCCCAGACCCCTCCCAGCAGGCCCTGTCCCGGGACCCTGCTGGAGGCGTCAGAGCCCCCAGCATCCCCTCTCCCTAGGGACCGAGGAGGAGCGCCTGGGCCCAGGTGTCGGCACCCCCGGCCCCCGCCTTCCGGATCCAGGTGTCCCCGCTCCTCACCCCCCAGCCCGAGGCTTCGCGTCTCGGAGGCCCTGCTCGCGTCGCCATGGCAACGGGAGTCTATTTTGCGCTGGGAACACACAGCTCCCGCCGCAGCGCCCCCCACCACAGCCCGGCCCGGGTGAGAGTGGGGGTACCAGGGAGAGCGCTCAGGGGTCCAGCAGTCCAGGGGTCCGGGGTGGGGCGAAGGGGGGCACAGAGCCGCTTAGAGGAACAGCGATCCATAGACAGCAAACCGGGACAGAGACGTGGAGCCAGGGAGGCAGAGACAGCGGGGACGTGGAGACCGAGGGTGCAGACGGAAAAGGGATGTAGAGGCAGAGACCGGGCGGGGAAGAAGGAAATGGAGGCCTGGAAGGGGGAAAGCTGAGACACAGACGCCGGGACGGACAGGGACAGAAGCCCTGCCAGTAGCAGCGACTCAAAGAGACACTGGCTGAGAGATACCGTGACCCAAGGGCAGATCCCGCTAGAGACAGAGACGGGCCAGTGGCCCAGGGAGGGGACGGAGGGAGGCGGCTGTCCCCGGAGAAGGAAGTGACAGGGACGCCCGGGACCGGAGACGGAGAGACACGGGGAGACAGAGACACGTGAGACGGGAAGGCGCAGGGATGGGGCGGGGGCGCAGAGACCTGATCTGCTCCTCCCTGGCTCCGTCCCCGCCATCCCCGCCTTCCCGCGGCAAGCGAAGGACTGCGCCCCCTCGCCCCCTCGCAGCCTCCTAGGATCTCCCGCCCTGCCGTCCCGGGACTCGGAACTAGGGTCCCCCCACCCCCCGCCCTCCACCAGGAGCCCTCTCCTCCCTCCGCTCTCCTCCACCTGCCCGGCCCTGAACCCACATCCCCGCCCCAAACCGGCCTGGCAACCCTTGACGCTCGAGGAGCCCCTCCCGTCCCACTCGGACCCCGCAGCCTCCCCTCCCACCGCTGCGCCCTGGGCCCCGCCCTGGCCCTGCGGCTGGCTCCCGCCCCGCCGGCTCCCAGAGATGGCAGAGGCCTGCCTCTTCCTGGGTCGCTGCCCTCTCCATAGGTCACGACCTCCCCTCTCTGGCACTATCTCGCTCACCGGGCTCTGAACCCCGGGGCTCTAGGTCTCTGCCCACCTCCTCTATTTTCCTCCAAGCCCCACACTGTCCCCCTCTGTGTCCTGCTTGGCTCTCTCCAGGTCTCTCTCCTACCACCGCCCACCCCCTCCTGCGCCCCCCTTCTGTGGGTTTGTCTCTTCCCTGGGTCTCTCTCTCTGTCCCCCACCCCCAGCCTCTTTACCTCCCCCTTTCGCTGGGTCTCTGTTCCCTCTGTAGGTATCTGTTCTCCTCCTCCCACCCTCCTCTGGTTCTCTGTCTTCCTCTCCCTGGGCCTCTGTTTCCCTGTCAGTATCTCTGTCCCTTTCTCTGGGTCTCTGGGCACCCCCTACATGTCCCCACCTCCTCATGTTCTTTCTTCCTGTTCCTCTCCCCAAGTCCTGCCCCATCTCCTATACTCACCCTGACAGCGCCCAGCCCACCCCCAGTCCTGCCATCCCAGCCCTGCCCCCACCCCCAGCTGGCAGGGCTGGGAGGGACAGAGGAGGGCGGAGTGTGCAGGGGGAGAGGCGTGGGTGGGGGGCTTCTCCAGGAGCCCAGAAACCATATGGCCTTGCTCAGGGCCCCTCCCCAGGCTGTTCCTGACTGTGTCCCCACCTCTGTGTCTCTCAGGTCCTGAGCTGGGATGGGGCAGGGCATGCAAGGTGCAGGAGTGGAGAGACTGGGGTCCCGGGTCCCCATTCCTCCCTGGCTGTGGCCAAGGAAAGTGCTCTGTGTGTGGGTGGGAGCCAAGTGGGGGCAGGAGTGGGCGTGTGCGGCTGTGGGGTAGAGGGTGTCACATGCCACTGGGGGAGGGTGTGTTTGCACACGTGTGTGTGCACCCACGGGGTTGCGTGGCTGTGATATGTGCAGGTGCGTGTCCATGTGTCACTGGGCTGGGCAGGTCCCTGATCATGTTCTGGAGCAGTGTGTGGCCCAGTGTGTCGTCACGTCTCAGTCTTGTGGGTCAAAATGTGCAGAAACCCATGATTGTGTGTCCATGTGGAGTTGTGTGTATGCATGTCTGTGTTGGGAGGAGGCTACAGGTGTGCCACCAGGATGACATTGGGTGTCCTTGCATGTGTGTCTGAGGCACTAAGTGTCCTGTGTTCTGTGTCATTGTGCATGTATGAGTTCTGTTGTGTGTCTGTGTGTAATGGAAGGGAAGTGTAAGGGAGGGAATAACCAGTCCCCGTGCCTGGATGGCCGCTGCGTCTGCAGAGATGCGTCCTGGCTCCGCCCACCTATAGCTGCTGCCGGGCGTCAGGAGGGGAGAGAAGCCCTGTGTTGAGAAGCACGTGTTGCGTCTGGGTGTGTCGCTGGGTTTGGGGGGACTGTGTCGCCGCTCTCACTCTCCCTCCCCCTCTTCCTGCTGGAGTTGTCAATGGCCTGGAGCTGTGTCTCCCAGGGTGCGTGCATGTGTGTGCAGTTGGAGGAGCCCGTGAGACTGTTCGCAAAGGGAGAAATCATGTCCGTGGAGCCCAGCTGGAGGCTTGGCACAGAGCGGGCAGTGAGCGAGAGAACTGCCAGCCCATGCAGCTGCCTTTGTGCAGATGACACAAAGGCGCACTGCCCCCCTCCCATGCCCAATCACTTCCCCAGTGTCTATGGTTTGGCAGGCAGATGGCACCTTTGTGTGAGTTTGAGAAGGGCACTCCCTACTCCAGGATGCAGCCCTGCCTGTGCATACCTTAGGAAGGAGAGCTTGGCTAGACTTCAGCCTCTCAGCCAGATCCCCTTGTGCAGTGCACAACCTGCCCAGCTATATATGGCGGCCCTCAGTGAATGAAGGAATCCATATCACTCTGTTTGGTGCCACTTCCAGAAGGGGTGTGTCTGTGTGTGTGTGTCAACCCACATCTCTGTGTATGGGATAAAGGCATCGATGTTCTATAGGTTGCATTGCTCAGAGGCCTGAGTTCAAAACTCAGCCCCACTACTTGGGCGCTATGGGCCTCAGGCAAATGATGGGACCACTTGGAACCTTGACTTGATGTCCTCGTCTGAGATGTGTATGTGTGCCAGAGAAAGAGACAGAGAAAACCCACCTCATATTTCTTTCAACATTCATCCACCAAATATTTATTGAGCACCTACTATGTGTCAGGAACTGGAGCTGGTGCTGTAGACGGAATGGTGAACTTGACACAGGCAAAGACATCTGCCTTCATGGAGTCTATAGCCAAGTGGGGGGAAATGGACACTCAGTCAATACCTACCTGTGGCAGGTAGAGATCAGAGCCATGAACAGATACAAAAGGAGTGAGGAAAGCAGAGTGTCTGGGCTGCTGTCACAGATCTGGCAGGGGAGAGTGGCTGGGATGACACATGAGGGACACCCTGGAGGAAGGAAGAAAGGTGGCCAGGCTACACCAAGATCTGTGGGAAGAGGGGTCCCCAATGAAGGGAACAGCAAGTGCGAAGGCAGGAAGGTGGGAACCTCTTGGGCATGAACCTGGAAAGGTATGAAGGAAACAGGGAAGCATGGAAAGCAGGCGCTCCTGGTGCAGAGTTGGGGTTTATTCCTGGAGTGACAGGAAGCCAAAGCAGTCTCACGGGGGAAAGACTCTTACCTTTATTGTTTTTTTTTTAAATTGTGGCAAAATACACGATTTTAACACAAAATTTAACCGTTTAGCCATTTTGAAGTGTGCAATTCAGTGGCATTTAGTATATTCACTATGTTATACAACCATCACTATTATCTAGTTCCAGAATATTCTTATCACCCCAAAAGGAAGCCCAGTACCCATTAGCAGTCACTCCCCATTCTTCTCCCCCAGCTAGCGCCAAGCAGTTCCCCACCGGCTTTCTGTCTGTGGGGATCTGACTGTTGTGGACATTTCATATACGTGTAACCATATACTGTGTCATCTCTATGTCTGGCTTTGCAATGTCTTCAAGGTTCATGCGTGCTGTAGCATGTATCAGAGCTCTGTTCCTTTTATGGCTGAATAATATTCCATTGTATGGATGTGCCACGTTCTGTTTATCCATTCCAAGTGAAGGATACTTCGGTTGTTTCCACTTTTTGGCCATTGTGCAAGATGCTGCTATGAACATTCACGTGTAAGTTTTTGCATGAACCTGTGTTTTGAATTCTTTGGGATAGATACCTAGGAGTGGAATTGCTGGGTTGTGCGGTAATTCTGTTTAACTTTTTAAGGAACTATCAAACTCTTTTCCACAGTGTGGGCCAAACCATTTCTTTCTTTTCTTTTTTTTTTTCCCCCCCACTGTTTTTTTGTTTGTTTGATTTTTTTTATTGAGAAAGAGTCTCACTCTGTCCCCCTGGCTAGAGTGCAGTGAGTGAAGTCATCGTATCTGACTGCAACCTCGAACTCCTGGGCTCGAGCGATCCTCCTGCCTCAGCCTCCTGAGTAGCTGAGACTACAGGTGCATGCCACTACGCCCAGCTAATTTTTTCTATTTTTAATAGAGATGGGGGTCTCACTCTTGCTCAGGGTGTTCTTGAACTCCTGACCTCAGCTGATTCTCCCGCCTTGGCCTCCCCGAGTGCTAGGATTACAGGTGTGAGGACTGCTCCCAGCCAAAGCCACATCTAATATGCCCATTACCCACCCAAGTGGAGGCGTCCAGTAGGCATTTGGGTATTATGCCCCAAGTTCAGGGGAGGGGTCCAAGCTATAACTGAAAAGGAGAGTTGAGGCCCCTGTGGGAGGGGGTAAGCTGAGGCTTGGGGAGCCTCAGAGCCCCCGTAAGCCTCCCCCATCCCAACCACTAGCAATTTTGTTGGCGGTGGTCTGCTCCCTGGACACACACAAATGGCAAGGACAAATAATAAAAGCGATACTGAATTATATTTAGCAAATTAATCCCATCCTCCATCCCTTTAGGTTGCCTTCATTTCTTCACAGTTTCCTTCATAATTTCTCAATATTTCTTCACAATCATCTGCAACGTGCACCACATTCATCTGTGTCTGTTGACGGACTCTCCCATCACTAGAGCATAAAGCCCCAAAAGGCAGGAACCCTGTGGGTTCAGTCAGCACCGCATCCTCAGCGCGCACAACGGCGTTCAGGCCAGCAAAGATGCTCAGCAGACATTTCTCGAGGGAATATTTGCAGAAGGAATCCGTGTCCCGCACTGCTGGCCCCTGGGCTAAGCTTCGAGGAAGTCCCCTTCAGGGCAGGGGCTGTTAGGATCATCATCCTGCAGAGGAGAAAAGTGGGGATCGGGGGGGACTGTCACCCCAGAGCCTGCCTTTAACCACTAGGTCATTCCTCCTGGGGGGCTCAGACCCCCCTCTCCCTGCCTCTAGCATCCTCCCCACTGCCTCTGTGTCCATCGGGTCTGCTGGGCGTGTCTGGGACATGGCTGGACTTGCCGTAGAAGCAGCTGGAAGACCTGCCCCACCTGGCCCTCACCTCCCACACCTCTTCTCCTCCTCTCTTCGCCCCTCCTCACCCTGTATCTCCCTTCTCAAATAGTAGCAGCAGCACCGAACGCTTCCAGCTGCACATGCCAGGCACTGTTCCAGGCTCTTCACACATATTCGCTCTCCCGACCACAAGTGATAAGGATAACCATCATTACGCCATTTTACAGATGGGGAAACTGAGGCACAGAGGGCTTACGGTGTCAAGCAGCTGGGAGATAAACCACTCTGCTGCGCTGCCCCTCCCCCCAGCCGTGGAGGGAGACATTTCAGACCTGGCGCTGTGAGAGTGTGGGGGGGCTGTGTGAGAGGCCTGGGGTCCCTCGGTTACCGGACCTAAATAAAGGAGAGACATGGGCACTGGGGGGCGCTGAGGAGCATATGGTGTAAGCCAGTGGTTCTCAACGGGGCGGGCGGGCAATTGTGCCTGTCCCACCAGGGGGACATTTGACAGTGCCTGTCGCAAGCTGGGGGGATGTGGACGCTCCCGGCGTCCGGTGGATGCTGCTAAACACCCTGTGATGCACAGGACCGGCTCCCACAAAAGTGGGATTCTGCCCCGTGTCGGCAGCGCGCGGCTGGAAACCCAGCGCTACCGCTCGCCGCTGCCTGGTCTATACGCTCCAATTCTCAACTTCAATCTCTCTCTCCCTCCCTTCCTCCCCCCTCCTCCTCCTCCCTTTCTTTTCTCCCTTCTCCCACCCACCCCTCATCTGTCTCCCTTCCTGCCCTCCTCGGCCCCCACTTCCCCGCCCCACCGCCCCTCCCGCACCGGTTCCGTCGCCTTCCGTCACGCGTTCCTGCTTTTTGCCCTTCCCTCTCATTTCTGCACACCCCCTGATGTCTCCTCGGTCCTCCCAATCTCTTTCCTCCATTCATCACCCGTCTGATCCTTTTTCCGTCCGCACATTGCCATTTCTCTTCTCCTCCGGCGCGTCCGGGCGCGCCTCCACCGCCCCCCGCGCCGCCCGTCGTCGCGTGGGGCGCAACTCTGGCCCACGCGCCCCCATCCTTGCTGTCGCTCTCCGCGCCTCTACCTTCCCTGGCCCGCCTCCCTCAGCCTCTCCGCCCTCCCCCCTGCACGCCGCCCCCCCATCTCTCTCCCGCCCACCGCTCCCACCTCTGCAGCCTGGCGGCCGGGTCCGACCTCCTGCGCGCTCCATGCCGGCCCTCCTGCTCCTCGCACTCCTGGCGGCCACCTCGGGCCAGGCCGGGGCGCGCCCGTCCAACACCACGAGCGCCGAGCCCCCCGGCCCGCTGCCCGCCCTGCTGGCGCACCTGCGGCGCCTGACCGGGGCGCTGACTGGCGGCGGGGGCGCGGCGGGCCCGAGCGCCAACGGCACCAAGACCGGCTCCGCAGGCGGGACGGGTGCCGCGGCACGGGCGCCCCCTCCCGCCGAGCTCTGCCATGGCTACTACGATGTCATGGGCCAGTACGACGCCACCTTCAACTGCAGCACGGGCTCCTACCGCTTCTGCTGCGGCACCTGCCACTACCGCTTCTGCTGCGAGCACCGCCACATGCGCCTGGCTCAGGCTTCCTGCTCCAACTACGACACGCCACGCTGGGCCACCACGCCGCCGCCGCTGGCCGGGGGCGCTGGGGGCGCCGGGGGTGCGGGCGGGGGGCCAGGGCCTGGCCAGGCCGGGTGGCTGGAAGGGGGCAGGGCTGGGGGCCCAGGGGGACGCGGGGGTGAAGGCCCCGGAGGCAGCACGGCCTATGTGGTGTGCGGGGTCATCAGCTTTGCCCTGGCTGTGGGCGTCGGCGCCAAAGTGGCCTTCAGCAAGGCGTCCCGTGCGCCCAGGGCGCACCGTGAGATCAACGTGCCCAGGTGAGTGTGTGCTCAAAGTTGGACTTCAGGGAGCCTGGGGGCGGGGCCTGGGCAGTGGAGGTGGGGCCATCTGAGGAGGGCGGGGCTACAGTGGTGGGGGCGTGGTCAGAGGCTGAGGTGGCAGCCACCCGCAGCAGCCGAAGATGGGCAGAGCATGAGGATAGATGCGTCGGAACCCACCTGGCTGTTGAGGAGTGATGGAGGGAGCAGGGGAAGCTCGGGTCCTTATTCATCGGACAAATATTTCTTGAGCAACTTCCGTGAGCCAGAAACTGGAGATATCACATGAACAAAATAAGGTCTCTGCCCTGATAAGCCAGGCTTCCAAACCCAGGTTCGCTGCCTGCAGGCTGCGTGACACAGGACAATTTGCTTAACCTCTCTGTGCCTCAGTTTCCTGTCCGTACAATGAAGCGAATAGCCCGCACGTATTCGGATTGTAATGAAGATTAACCGAGTTGATTCATGTAGAGTCCTGGCACATGGCAGGTGTTCGCGACATGTTAGTGGTGGAGTCAGTACGTATATGCATATGCAATATAATTTTAGATCTTGGTAGTTGCTGTGAAGAAGATAAAACAGCACACGGTTTTGGAGGAGTGGGTGTCGGTTTAGATCAAGTGGTCAGAAAAGGCCTTTCAGAGCAGAGACCTGAAGAAGGGAGAAGCAGGTATCTGTGAGAAGGACATTCCCTTCTCACAGGGGGGAAATGTCACCTGCGAAGCCCCCAGGTGGCTTGTTTGCAGGACGGGGAAGGGGTCGGTGCAGCTGGAGTGCGGTGGGCTGGAGGAGGTGAGGAGAGGCAGGCAGGGCCAGGTTTATTCTGAGTGTGATGGGGAGCCACTCGAGGGTCCTGAGCTCAGGGGTGACGCCCTCGGACAATTTTCAAAAACCACTGAGCTGTGCGTGTGCGACTGGACTGTAGAGCCAGGGGCAGCCGTGGGCAGACCGGTGAGGAGGCCGCTGCCACGGTGCAGGTCAGAGAGGGTGCTGGGGGCAGCAGAGGCGGGAGAAGTGGGCCGATTCAGGCTGTACTTTGGAGGTTAAATCCACGGCATCGCTGAAAGGCGTAAGAGGAAAAAAAGGGAGTCAAGGGTGATGCTAAGATTTGCGGTCCACGTACCCGGGTGAATGAGGCACCCCTTAGTGCCATGGGGAAGGCGGCAACAGGAACAGAAATGGGGTCCCAGACTCAGGATGGGGAGGGCCCACAGGGAGGAGGATATGGGAGGGGCCACAGAAGGGGTGGGGTCCAAATGAATTGGGGAAGGGGCACGAAAATGGGCCAAAGTGTGACATTGGAGGGGGCGTGGCCAAAGGCTAGCAGCAAGGATGCGGGACCGATTCCCCCGACCGTGGGAACAGGGAAGGGAAAGAGGCTGGCCCCGCCCCCGCACTCCCGCCCCAGCCCCCAGGCCGCCGACCGTCTCTCTCCCACCTTTAGGGCTCTGGTGGACATTCTGAGGCATCAGGGAGGACCTGGGACCCGCCCGGACCGGGCCCGAAGCAGCTCCCTGACCCCGGGGCTCGGGGGTTCTGACAGCATAGCCCCCAGGACGCCCAAGAGCCTCTACAACACCGTGAAGTCCTCCAACCTCGGTGAGTGGGACGTGGGTGCGGCGGCTGCAGCCTCTGTCTCGGGCCACGCCCTTCGTCCCTGTAGCTCCGCCCCCGATGGCCCCACCCCCGTTGCCCAGGCCCTGCCCCGCCTCTGCCCGCCCTGAACCCTTCTGTCCTTCATCCGGGCGATGGGGGCGGGGCTGGGGACGCCGCAGTGAGCCAGGCCCTCCGGTGGACGGCCTGGGTGGGCGCCATGGACACCTTGGTTGGTGACTTAGATTTAGACGTTCTCAGCTCCTGAGCTCGGTATCAGACCACGCGACAGCCAGCTACACATAAGGACACACTTAACTATTTAATTAGAATTTGTGGGGAGCCAGACTGCTTGGGTTTGAATCCTGGCCCTGCTACTGTGTGACCTGAGACAAGTGACTTCACCTCTCTGGGTCTCAGTTTCCTCATCCGTAAAATAAGAAACACAACAGCACTCACCTCATAGGGTTATTGTGAAGATTGAATGAGTTCGTGAGTCAGGTGCTTAGATCAATGTGTAAGACAGGGAAAAGAAATACTACGTAAGGCCGGGCGCGGTGGCTCACGCCTGTAATCCTAGCACTCTGGGAGGCCGAGGCGGGCGGATTGCTCGAGGTAAGTTCGAGACCAGCCTGCGCAAGAGCGAGACCCATCTCAACTATAAATAGAAAGAAATTGGCCTGGCGAGGTGGCTCACGCCTGTAATCCTAACACTCTGGGAGGCTGAGGCGGGCAGATTGCTCGAGGTTAGGAGTTGGAACTGTCTCAATATAAATTGAAAGAAATTAATTGGCCAACTAATATATATAGAAAAAATTAGCCGGGCATGGTGGCGCATGCCTGTAATCTCAGCTACTCGGGAGGCTGAGGCAGGAGGATCGCTTGAGCCCAGGAGTTTGAGGTTGCTGTGAGGTAGGCTGACGCCACGGCACGCACTCCAGCCTGGGCAACAAAGCGAGACTCTGTCTCAAAAAAAAAAGAAAGAAATACTACGTATGTGTGAGCTCTTATAATTGTTAACTATGACATAATTATTATGTATTCGTTATATAATATATTTTAAATGTAATATATTATAATAAATATAATATATTCATTATATAATTATCTAAAATATACCACAATATTTTTATATTATATTTCATGATGAGGGCATCAACAGAGAAGTCCAAGGAGCTCTAAGTGGGCATTGAGAAAGGTCTCGTGTGGTTCGAGGGGCAGGAGGGCTTCCCCAGGGAGTGCTGTCTGAGCCAAGGTCTGGAGGATGAGGGGAGTTACCGGGCTGGGGGAGGGTGCTCTGTGTGGTGGAGCAGAGCTTGTGAGGCAGCCAGACCCGAGGCTAGGGAGAGGGTGCACAGAGACCTCAAGAAGGGCCATGAGTGCCTGGCTGAGCTGAGGAGCTCTGCTTTTGTCCTGGGGATGATGGGGAGCCACAGAGAACTTAGAGCAGGGGAGCAGCACAGTCAGAAGTGGATGGGAGAAGTATTTCTCTGGAGCCCATGCAAAGGGCAGAAACGAGAGGAAAGAGGCTCAGGAGGAGGCTGGGATGGTGCCAGGCAGGAAGAGGATGAGGACTGAGCTGGAGCCAGGGGTGCAGGAGAGGAGACATTCAAGTTGGATCTTGAAGAATGAGTAGGAGTTCTTCAGGCAAAGACGGGAAGAAGGAATTCAAGGCAGCAAGAACAGCACAGCAGCATGTGCAAAGGGCCTGTGGCAGGACCATGCTGGGCTCATTCGAGAATCAGAGAACAGTGTGGTTGAGGGAAGGGATGAAGGAAGAGACTGCAGACATCAGGATGTGAGTGGGGAGGTGGAGGGAGGAGGCAAGGAGAGCCCCCCAGATCTCTGGACTTGGTATCGGGGTGGGCAGTAGAGACTGGGGATAGCCCACTTACCCAGCCATGAGCCTGTGCCCACACTTTCCATCCTCAAGTCCCCAGCCTCAGTTTCCCCCATATGGCCAATAGCATGGGTTGATCTGTGGGGTTCTAACAAGCTTGGGCCAGGATCCTTCCAAGATAGCAGGGCAGCAGTGCCAGCTGGAACAGACGATGGCAGTGACATCAGCTTTCTTCTCGGTTCCCCCAGATAATCTGCACCACAACTACCTGCACCTCAACGTCGGCAGCCCCAAGCACCACGGCGGCACAATGGGTACGGACCAGGGCCTGGGCTGCGAGGAGGGGCAGGGCTCCTTCCCCTCCCGCCCTTGTGTGGGCCAGCTCATGCCAGGTGCCCAGGAAAGGGCAGGAGTGAGACCCAGTGAGCCCTCCCCCATGGCGTTCACAGTCTGGCCAGGTCGCCAAGTGAGCCTGAGGGTCTTCCTGTGGACACTGGAAGTTGTCATCTCACTCCCACCAGGCTGTGGGGAAAATGCGTGGAGTGCACCTCCCAGCCTGGGGCCAGCCAGGCACTCAATGGGTGCTGACAAATGTCAGGTGCTCCCTCCTGGGACATGTCCCCTCCCCAGCCACAAGCCTGTCTCCTGCGGGGGGAGTGAGGGAGGCAGAACTACTGGAGTTTTGAGGGACTGGAATCTCAGATTTCTGACACCCTGAGGATCAGCTGGGTCTGAGGGAGGAGGAGCTGGGGATGGGACTCCCAGGTCTGAGGGAGGAGGGGCTGACTGACCCTGGCCCTGTCCCCTCTGCCCCAGATTGGCGGGCCATGCCACCGCCCAGCCCCTCCTTGCACTACTCCACGCTGTCCTGCTCTCGGTCCTTCCACAACCTCTCGCACCTGCCCCCATCCTACGAGGCCGCCGTGAAATCCGAGCTGAGCCGCTACTCCTCCCTCAAGAGGCTGGGTGAGTCCTGGGAAGGGTTGTGACCGGGCGGGAACAGGGACAGAGTCCAGGTTCAGAACCATGGACAGTAATACCCAGGCTTCTCTCCAAGTCTGTTCCAGAATTACCTGAGGTGATTTTATATCAGAATTACCTGGGGTGTTGTTTTTTTAATGCAAATTCATGGCCCCCCCAAGACTTATTGTATTCATTAGGACTTACACTTGCAATTAATAGAAATACAATTTAAGCAAACAATAACAACAATGAAAGATTACGTTGGCTTGATAATAGAAAGTCTACAGGGTCCTTGCTTGCAGAACGGCTGGTCTAGAAGCTCAAAAGCTGTCTCCAGGAGTCCACATCTCTCATTTGCAGACAGATTCTCCCCTCGTGGGAGCAAAGATAGCCATGACAATTGTCAGACTGCCATTCTACCAGCTTAGACCCTGGCAGAAAAGAGTCTCTCCCAAGGATTCCACCAAAAATCCCAGGCCTGGATCCCATTGGCCCAAACTGAGTTACGTGCCCATCCCTGAAACAATCCCTGTGACTCTGATTGGACAATTCCCAGTCTGTGGCCCACCCCTGGCAGTGGAGCAGCCCTCAAACATTGTAAACTATGAGCCACACTCAGAAACACTTTTTATATCATGATCCATGCGATGCACGTAATACATATTTTCTTTTAGTTAGAGGAAAGGTTTGAAATGTATTGTAGACATTTTAAACATACACAAGAATAGAGAAAATTATAAAATGTGCCCCATGTTCCCATCACCCAGACTTCACAGCAAGTGCCATTCTGTTAATCTATCCTGTGTCTGCCCCAACTTTTGGTGGATTCTTTTAAAACAAATCCCAGATATTGTCATTTCATCCTTTAATATTTCCATTGCACGTATCTGAAATAAAAATTTTATGAAACTGCACTTACCCTTAATCCCCTATTATATGGACACCTTCTGATAGTTTTCTGTTTTATCTGATTCTTTTCATTTTTCAAAATGCTGGTCATTATCCACAAAATTGCCTTCACAATCCACCCATGGGTCACAGCTCCAGGTTTGAAAATCACTGCTATAGATAGGATAGAAAGGAGGGGACAGCAGTTCCCCAAAAGCAAGAGTTGGGTTGTGCCCACAAAAGGGCTACTTGGAGGCAGGGAGCGAAAAAGGAAGGGTCCCCGCATCTACTGGCCCAGCACTGTGGGCTGGGCCCGGGAACCTGCATGTGGCCATATCATTAGCCTGGGGGTTCTGATTGATTAAAATTTGGAGATCACTGCTCCTTACCCAGGCTGAAGACCAGGTCGTCCTGGGTAATGCCTGGGGTCCTTGTCAGAAATGGTACAGGATGGGAGGGGACATAAGGAAGCCAGGGGGGCAGGAAGGCCCTGGGCCAGCAGGGGACCCACCTCTGTGGCTTCTTCCCTTCTCCCCCCAGCCGAGAAGGACCTGGACGAGGCCTACCTGAAGCGCCGGCACCTGGCGGAGGCGCCCCGCGGAACGCTGCCCCTGCACGCCCTGCGGCGACCCGGCACCGGGGGCGGCTACCGCATGGATGGCTGGGGCGGCCCGGAGGAGCTGGGCCTGACGCCCGCGCCCAACCCGCGGCGAGTCATGTCCCAGGAGCACCTGCTGGGCGACGGGGGCCGGGCCTCGCGCTACGAGTTCACGCTGCCGCGCGCGCGCCTTGTGTCGCAGGAGCACCTGCTGCTGTCCTCGCCGGAGGCCCTGCGCCAGAGTCGCGAGCACCTGCTGTCGCCCCCGCGCAGCCCTGCGCTGCCCCCCGACCCCACCGCCCGGGCCAGCCTGGCCGCCTCGCACTCCAACCTGCTGCTGGGGCCCGGGGGGCCCCCCACGCCGCTGCACGGGCTGCCGTCGTCCGGCCTGCACGCCCACCACCACCACGCCCTGCACGGGTCGCCGCAGCCCGCCTGGATGTCCGACGCCGGCGGGGGCGGGGGCACGCTGGCGCGCAGGCCGCCCTTCCAGCGCCAGGGCACGCTGGAGCAGCTGCAGTTCATCCCCGGCCACCACCTGCCCCAGCACCTGCGCACTGCCAGCAAGAACGAAGTGACGGTCTGAGGCCAGGCCCGGGGACTGGGGGGCTGCGGCCTCCCGGGACCCCCATCCCAGCCTGGAACCCCCGACACTGGTTCACGCGCTGCAGGGGCTGAGACCAGACCCGCCCTTGGGTGGGAGGCAAAGCCTCCTTCGGCGCGTCAGGGCGGACACGATTCCTCTCCCATTACTCACTGTTTGAGCCACGGCCTCTTTCCCAGGATGTCATTACAGAGGAGGCCCACCCATGGGGGCACCGCTAGCAGAAATGTCTGCTTCTGTGATGTCGCCACAGGCACAAGACCTCCTTCCCATGAGGTCATCACAGAGGAAGAGGCGTGCCTATGAGGTCATCGCTCAGAGCCATGCCTACGTTCTGTGGCGTCATCACAGACTCCCTTCCTGTGAGGTGACAGCGGAGATGAGGCCTTGTCCCATGACATCATTCCTAGAGACCAAGATTCCTTCCCATGATGCCACTGTAGCGGCAAGTCTCGCCCCTGCACCGTCTTCTCTGGCTCTAAGGCCTCTTTTGGCATCGTAGTCCTGGAGGAGATACCGTCCTCCCGTACCTTCACCGCAGAGAAGGTGCCTCTGTCCTGTGATGTCATCGCTACAGACAAAGCCATCTTGCTGGGACACACGCAGGAGAGAATACCTCGCTGACTGTGTCCTCACTAGAGATAAGGCCCTTTTCCCATCGTCATCACAGGGACCCTGGCTCCCTCCTGTGATGCCATCACCAGAGAAGGTGCCTTGCCCTATGACGTCATCGGAGGGACCATGCCTCCTCCTGTGATGTCATCACCAGAGATGACAACCCCCTCTGGGGCCTCTCCAGGACGAAGCCCCTTGTGTGATGTCACCACCAGATGCTACATGCTCTGAGATGACACAAGGAGACACCCCCACTGCTGCCGCCATGTCCTAAGAAAGCAGGGCGTCCCCGCCCTAGGGAAGACGCCAGAGAAAGCGCCCTGTGCTGAGATGTCATCCGAGGGGTGCATCACTGGGGAGGCCACCCCCGTGGAGAGGCCTACCCCAGCGATGAGGGTCTGTGTGTGGATTGATGGTGGCGATGCCTCTGCCCCCAGTGCTGTGATGTCATCACCAAGCACCTCCTCCTCGGAGGCAGTGCCCACTCTGGCCACCATCACTGTTGGTGGTGTCGCAGTTTCTGCCTTGTCCCGCCATGACTCAGCTTTGTTGCTCCTTCCCCCCACCCCAGGGACATGCCCGACAGGATCTCCATCAGACCCTCTGAAAGGAGATGGGGCCTTGGGTCCTGCCTCTGTGCAGCAGCTCTGGAGGGACAGAACCCCCAGACAGGCTTCTGCTCCCAGGGAGCTCCCATGGGAGTCATGGGACCCCAGCTGGAGTCATGGGACTCATAGGTGGCCCAAAGCCTGGCCTCACTTCTTTCTGCCATATCTAGAGACACCATCGCCTCTGTCAACAAAGTCCTGGCCTCCTGCTGGGGGGAGGGGTCAGGGGTGAGTCTGCTATTGACCTTGCTGATGACATCATTAGCACCACATTACACCCACCATTCATGATGGCTTTCCACCTGGGGCCAAATGTTACCGGTGTCTGATGATAGCATCATTTCCCAGGATTCCCTATGACCCACCACAACTATGGTATCATCCTCTTCCAGCATTAACCATGACTAATATTGTCATAATCTCCCAACATTCCCTATTGCCAATGTCACCATCTTCCATGATTCCCCACAGCCATGGTGTCATTGCCTCCCAGGATCCACCACAGCCATGGTGTCATCGCCTCCCAGGATCCACCACAGCCATGGTGTCATCGCCTCCCAGGATCCACCACAGCCATGGTGTCATCGCCTCCCAGGATCCACCACAGCCTTGGTGTCATCGCCTCCCAGGATCCACCACAGCCTTGGTGTCATCGCCTCCCAGCCGTCCACCACAGCTTTGGTGTCATCACCTCCCAGCATCCACCACAGCCTTGGTGTCATCGCCTCCCAGGATCCACCACAGCCTTGGTGTCATCGCCTCCCAGGATCCACCACAGCCTTGGTGTCATCGCCTCCCAGCATCCACCACAGCTTTGGTGTCATCGCCTCCCAGCATCCACCACAGCCTTGGTGTCATCACCTCCCAGGATCTATCACAGCCTTGGTGTCATCACCTCCCAGCATCCACCACAGCCTTGGTGTCATCACCTCCCAGTGTCCACCACAGCCATGGAGTCATCACCTCCCAGGATCCACCACAGCCTTGGTGTCATCACCTCCCAGCATCCACCACAGCTTTGGTGTCATCACCTCCCAGTGTCCACCACAGCCTTGGTGTCATCACCTCCCAGTGTCCACCACACCCTTGGTGTCATCACCTCCCAGCATCCACCACAGCCTTGGTGTCATCACCTCCCAGGATCCACCACAGCTTTGGTGTCATCACCTCCCAGCGTCCACCACACCCTTGGTGTCATCACCTCCCAGGATCCACCACAGCTTTGGTGTCATCACCTCCCAGCATCCACCACAGCTTTGGTGTCATCACCTCCCAGGATCCTCCACAGCCTTGGTGTCATCACCTCCCAGGATCCACCACAGCCCTGGTGTCATCACCTCCCAGGATCCACCACAGCCATGGTGTCATCACCTCCCAGTGTCCACCACAGCCTTGGTGTCATCACCTCGCAGGGTCCACCACAGCCTTGGTGTCATCACCTCCCAGTGTCCACCACACCTTTGGTGTCATCACCTCCCACCGTCCACCACAGCCTTGGTGTCATCACCTCCCAGCATCCACCACAGCTTTGGTGTCATCACCTCCCACCGTCCACCACAGCCTTGGTGTCATCACCTCCCAGGGTCCACCACAGCCTTGGTGTCATCACCTCCCAGTGTCCACCACAGCCCTGGTGTCATCACCTCCCAGGATCCACCACAGCTTTGGTGTCATTACCTCCCAGGATCCACCACAGCCTTGGTGTCATCACCTCCCAGTGTCCACCACAGCCTTGGTGTCATCACCTCCCAGGATCCACCACAGCCTTGGTGTCATCACCTCGAAGGGTCCACCACAGCCTTGGTGTCATCACCTCCCAGTGTCCACCACAGCTTTGGTGTCATCACCTCCCAGTGTCCACCACAGCCTTGGTGTCATCATTTCTCAGATTCTGCCATGACCAATGATATTATTATCTTTCAGAGTCCACTTTGTCTGATGGTGACATCCTCTCCTGAAATCCACTGGGACTGATGATGCTACCATTTCCCATAATCCCTCATGATTGTGGTGTCATCACCTGCCAGGACTGAACCATGCATGGTGTCATAACCTCCCAGTATCCACTTCAACCATGGTGTCATCACTTCCCAAGATCCTCTTTAGCCGTGTGTCTCATGTCTCAGAATCTACCATAGCTTTGGTGTCATAACTCCTAGGATCCACTTCAGCCATGTGACATCCCTGCCAGGATCCATGAGAGTCAATGATGTCTTCATCTCCTGGGACCCACTTCAACCATGGTGTCTTCATGTCCCAGGATCCATGAGAGCCATTGGTGTCATCACCTTGCAGAATCCACTTCAACCATGGTGTCATCATCTCCTGTGATCCATGAGATCTGATGATGTCATCATCTACTAAGATCCACCACAACCATGGTGTCATCATCTCCCAGGATCCACTACAACCATGTGCCACCACCTTCCAAGATCCATCATCTTAGGGGCCAAGTACGTCATGACAGGCTGTATGGTAGCTGTCTTCTGGGGTTGCATGGTACTTACAGTTGTTCCCTTAAGGGGAACCAGCACAATATGCCATTTTCCCATTTCTGCAAATGGACATGGGAGGGGCCAGCTGTCCCCCTTTGATGACATCACCCCCACTCTGGCCCTTCTTGATTATGTCACTGCCTCACTCCTGACCTACAATGATGCCTGGATCAACCCCACCACAGACTTGGCCTCAGCCAGCCTCTTCCCCCCACCAGGTGAGGGCATCCAGACCCCTCCTGATGACATCACTGCCCCTCGCCCAGCCATCTGCTTGGTGACAGGGTCAGCCCATGACCTCCCATCATCACTAGAGGTGGGGCTTTCCAGCCCTTGGATGACATTATTGCCCCTCACCCAATCCCTCTTAGCCGGACCCCTCCCAGGATAAGCACTGCGCCAGCTCAGGCCACACTCTCCCCGGAGGTCCCTGACCGCTGCCGGAAGGGCTGACAGCTGGTGACTGACCTGGGGCCCTCAATGCTATTAATATCTTCTGCTGGCCTGGTCCTGGGGCAGACACACCTGGAGGGGTCCCCTCTGTGGGTGCCAGGGGTGCTCCTCATCTCTCTCCCTAACACCCTAACACACCAGGCACCTCCAGGGGCTTCGGGGAGACCCTAACACACACTGGCCCCAATGCACAATCTGCCCTCAATTCTCTTTGTACATAGCCATGTTGCGGGGGGCGGCCATTCCCCCACTCTTAAAGGGCTACATGCCCCCCTCCCCCAGCCCCCAGGGCGAGGTGGCGGGGGGCCTCTTCTTCCTCCCCTGGGCCGTCCCCCTCCCTCTTATGTCTCCCCCAGATACTAGCACCTCAGTTTATCCCTCCTTGTGCGGAGTCTAGGGCAGACGACTGGCTCCCACCACACTGAGGAAACTGGGGGGCCACCCCAGTCTGCCTAGGCCCCGTGCCCACTTTCCAACCCCATTGCTTCTAGCTGCTCCGAGGGGCTCCCCTTACCCCTCTTAGGGCCTCCCCGAGCCCAGCAGGGCTCAGGCAGACTGTGACATCCCTGAAAGGAGCCAGCTCAAGCAGCCACCCCCTCCTCTCTGCGCAACACCCCCAGGGAACACTCAGCTTTCTCCAGCCCCCGGATTGGAGGCTTGGGGCCTTTCAGCTTTTGTATGCCCCCCTCCACTTGCTCTCCCCGTCTGGATGCCAGGAGCCCCCCCCTCCAGCCCCCGCCCTGCCCCCATTCTCTCGGCACAGGCTGCCTGACCCTGGGACCTTGATTTGATCTCAAATAAGCCATAGTGGGGAGAGGTCTCCAGGGCTGTGACAGCAGGCATGTCCTGCCAGTCCCCCTCCATGTTCCTGAGCTGAGATCTCGACATCTGAGTCTTCCTCCGCCCCCCCCCAGCAGATGAACACCCACACACGCGTGCACACCCACACACAAACACACGCGTGCACAAGCAAGCATCTCCCCTTCAGTTGGGGGCCGTGGGAGGGGGGCGGTTCTGAGAGACAAGAGAAGCAGTTCGGGACCAGAAGACCCTCCACAGCTGTGCCTCCCCCGCCAACCTCTCTCTGTCTCCCCAACACTGGCCCCTTCCCCCAATTCCCTGGTGAGGACAGCCGGAGGAGCTGCGACTTGGTATTTTTTGGAATAAATAGACGTTTTCCTGATCCGAGGTCTCGAGGTTTCCTGTTGGGAGAGGACGGGTTTCCACCCCGCACATGTGGCTGAGTGTGGCAGGTGCTGCCAGCGGCAGGGCTGCAGGTTGCCACCGGACGGCTTCTAAGTGTCTGTTCCCAGGTCGGGGGCCATCGCCAAGCTGAGGAGTCAGGGGCGGGGGTGTGCACTGTACGGTGCTTTTCAATTCTGGCTTCCTTCCTAAGAAAGCCCTCCCCACTCCCAGCATATAAGCACTTGTTTACAGATTCTAGAAGTCACCTCCGTATATTTGAATTCTTTGGCTCAATAACATTAAAGTGCATGTGTGTATGGGGGGGTGTATTGGTTTCCCAGGATTACAAATTGGGCGGCTTAAACTACAGAAATCTACTGTCTCACAGGTCTGGAGGCTACTGGTGAGAGATCAAGGTGTCAGCAAGATTGGGTCCTTCAGGGTTGGTTCCTCTTTCTTGTGAGGGGGTCTGTTCCAGGCCTCTCTCCACTCCTGGTGGTTTGCTTGGCATTTCTTGGCTTGTAGATGTGGTGTTCCCTGTGTCTACATGTTGTCTTCCCTCTGTATGAGTCTATGTCTGTGTGTGTCCAAATTCCCCCTTTTTATAAAGAGACTGGTCATGTTAGATTACGGCCCTCCCTAATGACCTCATCTTAACTTGCCCATCTGCAGAGACCTCCTTCCCAGATAAGATCACAGGTCACAGAGACTAGGTGGTCAGGATTCCAACATCTTTTTTTTTTTTTTGAGACAAAGTCTCACTCTGTTGCCCAGGATAGAGAGTGCAGTGGTGTCATCATAGCTCACAGCACCCTCAAACTCTTGGGCTCAACCAGGCCTCCTGCCTCAGCCTCCTGAGAAGCTGGGACTACAGGCATGAGTCATTATGCCCAGCTAATTTTTTTCTATTTTTGGTAGAGACTGGGTCTCACTCTTCCTCAGGCTGATCTTGAACTCCTGAGCTCAAGTGATCCTCCCTTGGCCTCCCAGAGTGCTAGGATTACAGGCATGAGCCACCGCGCCTGGCCTCTAACATCTTTTTTGAGGGGCACTATTCAACCTATAACAGGGGGTGAGGCATGGTGGAGCCCACTTAAGTGTCAGTTTTTATGATAATAATAAGAGTTTTCTCTGATACTTCCCCCTCCAGCCCAGTGCATTAAAATATTTGCACAGTTCCAGCTGCAGATGGGAAGAGAAGGGGCCTCTACCTATCAGTTTTATGAACTTCAGGAAAGTTCTCCTCTAGATGCAACTAAGTGTTTGTCTCTTTCACCTTGCATCTAAAGGTTCATTGCACATCACTCTGGAAAGAGAATTGGAGAGATGGACATAAAAGAGCTAGAGGTGGAAAAAGAAGCACTGGGGCCAGGGTGACTGAGTGGCAGTGACTCCAAGGGGCCTGGTTGATTTTTCATTTTATGTTCATTTATTCAACAAAATAGAGTGAATGAATGGCACAGACAAGGTCCCTGTTCTTGAGGAACAAATGGACCCACGGAAGTCCCTGGGTTCACCCACAAGCCTCTCTTGATTGGGCTTCTGTTCCCAGCAGCCAAATGCACCCTGACAATGACAGTGACTGTTATGGAAAAAAATCAGAAAACCCAGAGAAGCAAGGACAGAGCCAAAATGAAGATCCTCCCTGCTCAGAGTCAAATGCGATTCCCATTAGCTATGTTTTCTTCCAGAATTTTCTCATGCAAATAAATTCTTTTTGCAAACAAGCCTTCCTATATATAGACTTCTCTCTAACCTGCTTTCTTCATCTAATTAATACGAGGGTGTCATGTCATACATATTTTAACTTATGTGCACCCAATAGTATGTAGTTGCTGTAGAAAGAGAGAAATAGTAGTTCAGCAAGTGAGCTGTATGAACAAGATAGAGAGTGCCTTTGTGCAGTCCATATTGCCCAGTTTGAAACAATCTCCAGGACTGATTAAGTAAGAAAGCAAGATACAGGACAGTGTACATTCTGTGTGCAACCATTTGTGTAAAAGGAGGGAAGTGCAGACTCTGTATACAAATTTGCAGCAGCAAGTATTTCTAGTTCTTCTCCTGGGCACATGGTAAAATTCTATTTCCCTGCCCCCTGGAAGTTATCTGTGCCCACGAGCCTTGCCTTGGCCAGTGAAGCCTGAGCAAAACTACCTTCCCGGGTGGAGCCGGCGTGTGTTCTCCCACGCCCTGGCTTTTTCCTCTGCCGTGGCCATTGGTAACAGGTCAGGTCACGGCATCTCTGTTGGCCCAGGTCCCAGACAGATCAGCCAGGGCCCCAGAAGTAAGGATGATGCCAGATAGGGGCCTTGGCCAGCCCCGATGCACGCGTAGCACGAGTGAGAAATAAACCCTTGTCGCTTTAACACCCGAGGCTTTGGGGCTACTTGTTACTGCAGCATAGTGTGGCCTGCTCTGGCTGAGACAGGTGGCTCATGGAGAGGGGAATGGGATGGCTGGGGGTTTTGCACTCCTGAATTTTTGTATCAGCAAGCGTATTATCTATTTTTTTTTTAATGAACAAAATTTAGATTGAAACATAAATGGTGCAGGCTTTGCCTGCCATTCCCCTCCCTGGGCGTACGCCCAGGAGTGAGAGTGAGATGGGAGATACGAGTCCCAGTCCTCTCCCGCGTAGGGTGATTAACTTCCCACTCCGAGTTGTAATTCCAGTGCTTAAACGCATGTATTTTCATTCAACATGGACTCTACATGCCAGCCAATGACTTCATTTATGCTCAACAAGAAAAGAGCAATCTGCTTCACACACACTGCGTTAGATGGGTAAGTCAGGGATAAGATCTGACAGAAGCATTCTGCCTCGGATCTTTGCCTTTGTAACCTAACACTTGCTCAATTCGCAAATCTCGTGTCAATAAATACAAGCCTCTGAGCAGCTATTCTTAACCTGCCGTTTCACGGGGTGGGCTTGCCAACTTCTAAAATCTACACCAGACGTTGTGTGCATGTGCTTTTTTATTTCACTTCT